GTGAAATTTTCCATCTTCCCTTGAAGACCCCCTGACTGGGGCTGGCAAACCTGGCCCCTCTAATAGTGTAATAAACCACAATGCCTTTGTAAGAGCACATTCTGTATTTATACAACAGCCCATGTATACAAGGGATTAAAATAAACCATTTATTCCTTCATCTTGGACAAATCACATTATCCAGAAACTCCAAGAAGCAGAGCTTTCTGTTGTCAAAATAAACACTAGCCTGTTCCCCCACCCCTTTCAAGAACCCATGCAGTGCAAAATAAATGGCTTCGGCCTACCAGATGCACAGCACGTAGGGAGGAAAGTTAATGGTAATAAAGCATTGTGGGGTCCAAAACAAATGGAAGCACTTTGCTTATTGGATTCACTTCATTATTGTGTCTGCCCTTCTTGTCCACTCTTATTCCATGACCTAATTTCCCCCTCCAAATGGCTAATGATTTTGAATGCCTGAATGCCACAGCTTTCAGAGACAACCCGGTTGCCAATTTCATCTCATTAGTAAAAATGAAAACTCTTCCAAAGAACAGAGCCAAACCCAGCCAAATATTTCTTCCTGAGACAATGGCATGGACCTCCACTGTAGTAAGACTTTTCTGTTCAATGTCACAGCACAGTCCGCTAAGCTGCATGTTCTTCAGTGGGTGCCGCAGATCACATCTTGAGGAAGATAGTCATAAGAAGAATGAAAGAAGAGCCAAAGATCTAATCTAGCAGTAAGGAAATATTGCCCTCCATAGGTCACTGAAGTACAACTCCCGCTATCCCTGGCCATCAGAAATGCAAGCTGAGGTTGATGGGAGCTGTAGTTCAGCAACACCTGGAGACCCAAAGGTTCCCCACCTCTGCTCTAAGCCATCGTCCTGGTTCCAAAACTGGCTAACTCTGGGAACCCATAAAGAGGGTTGGAAGCAGTAGCCTCCTTGTGTAGAAATGAGAGGATCAGTCTATTTTCAGTCCATTTCCATTTTGCATGGGCAGAATGAGTCTTCTGTTTGTAGGCCTGTCCAGTTTAAGGATAAAGAACCCTAAGAAGGGAGAACAATGACCTTGAAGTTGGTTATCAAGAATTAGCACAGGTCACTAACAGGGGATGACATGGTAGAACAGAGACACTTACCTGACAAGTGGAGTGCTACAAGGCTCATTGTTATTCAACATGTGTATAAACAACTTGGATGAAGGAATTAAGGGGATGCTTATCAGATTTGCAGATAACACCCAACTGGGAGGAGTAGCGAACACCACAGAATCAGGATTCAAGATGACCTTTAACAGATTGGAGAACTGGGACAAAACTAACAAAATTAATTTCAACAGGGACAAATGTGAGGTTCCACACTTAGGCAGGAAGAATCAGCTTCACAAATATAAGATGGCGGACACCTGACTTGCTAGTAGTACATGTGAAAAGGTTGTAGGTGTCTGAGTAGACTACAGTCTTAATGTGAGTCAACAGTGTGATGCAGCAGCAGCAAAAAAAAAGCTAATGCTATTCTAGGCTGCATCAACAGAAGTCTAGTGTCCAGTTCCGGGCACCACAATTTAAGAAGAATATTGACAAGCTGGAGCTTGTGCAGAGGAGGGTGACCAAGATGACCAAGGGTTTGGAAACCAAGCCTTATGATGAATGGTTGAGGGAGTTGGCTATGTTTAGCATGGATAAGAAGAGACTGAGAGGAAATAGCCATCTCAAATATATAAAGGACTGTCACATGGAACAAGCTTGTTTTCTCCTGCTCCAGAGGGTAGGACCTGAACCAAAGGCTTCAAGTTACAAGAAAGGAGTTGTTGTTTTTTACTAAACATCAGGAAGAACTTTGTGGCAGTAAGAGCTGTTTGACAGTGGAACGGACTCCCTCAGAAGGTGGAGGACTCTCCTTCCTTGGAGGTTTTTAAGCTGAGGTTGGGTGAACATCTGTCATTGATGCTTTAGCTGAGATTCCTGCATTGTCAGGGGTTGGACTAGACGGTCCTCAAAGTCACTTCCAACTCTACGATTCTATGACCTCCTGGCAAGTGAGATGCTGCAGAATTCGAAGGGGGAGAGATGGGAGAGACAGCAAAGAGGGTGGCTGCGCTGGTGCATTTGTACCGCAGTGACCTCACTGCTACCTCTCCCCTTCCTCTCTCAGTAATAAGCAAAGACTTCCCTTCCGGGAGGTCAGATACAGCTTCACCCCCCACTATGCCATCTTCCTGCCATATTAAATGTTATAGTAATTATTCCTCAATTTGCATCTGTACATATAAATTAGAACTTGCAAATGTATCCTCTGCCCCCCGCCCTTTGCAATGCATAACTGGCCACCTACTCAGTTTACCGTACTTACTGAAGTGTTTGGAGGCCATCTTCAAACCAATAAATTGTCTTAGTGAAGGCATATGCCAAGAGGCCTGTAGCCAAATTTTTTGTAGCAAGGAGGACCAGTTGCCAAGGAAGGAGGCATAAATCATTGCAAAACAGAAATACAGATAACTAATATCTTTTTTAAAAAATTGATTGCATTCAATGTTAATAACATTTTAATTTTATAAGATATAAAAATAAGGACCTACTGCTTATCAGTTATTATAGTGCTCTTGTCCTCATTGTTGATTTGGGATCATTCTGCAGTACGATTTCCAGCCTATTTGTGTTGCTCATCTTTGAGTATGGTGGGATATGATTCGTACTTCTTATAGGATGGTTGGGTGAGCAGTTTTAGACACAACCCATGTTTTGTTGTATTTTCTTTATCCATCTATATGTGTGTTTAAATGTTTGTAAGCTTCTGTGTCTTTTATGGATCTGTAAGTTGGTTTGAGAGAAAAAGTTGTATAGCGAGCAACAAATAAATGGCATGATGATGATGATATTCATGGTGTGTAGTGGTTAGAGTGTTAGACCAGGAGCTGGGAGACCAGGGTTCAAATCCCCACTCAGTCATGTAGTTCACTGGGTGGCGTTGGGCCAATTATAGGATTTCAGTCTAACCTACCTCACAGGGTGGTTGTCAGGATAAAACTGGGGATTGTATGCCACTTTGAGTTCCTTGAATGAGATATAAATGTAATCAATCAATCAGACAATAATTGACCAGAATACTAGAAGGAGGGAGTGGTTGTGTTCAATATCCATGGGTTGTTTTGTAAGGAGCAATTGGGTGGCATATTCCTGTCCATTTCTGCCTTATATCTTCACAAGCAAAGGGTCTAGAAACTTAAACAACACTTCAATAAGTACGGTAAACTGAGTAGAGACAGGGTAGCACATTTATTTTCTGTTATTTCCTTTTATTCTGCAGCCTGAAAATTTTATTGAAAACTGAAGGGATAGAATGTAAATTAAACTAAATTAATGAATTCATTACATTTCTGAGAAGCCCGACTCATTTAAGTCACCCCCTCAGCGCAAGGGCTACAGCCCTGCATGACCTCGACTTCCCTTTTGCTTAGAACAGCTACCAGAGATAAACATCTGGTGTGCTCACCTTTTCCCATACATCTCCACTGGCATCCTCTTTGGCTATAAACCCCAGTGACTCTGTTTGTACATTTCCTCCAAGTCCCGTTATTAATATTCTGGATGAGGAGATCTCATAAACTCCCATCTGGAAAAGCAGGTCAGGGAGGGGTGGGAGATACGTCCCAATGTGCCATAAAGCACATTGACCATTGCTTTCAAACTCATGTGGCGACATGCAGAACATGCATGGGGGAAGCTGAGCCAGTTTTAACGGCATTTAAAATAGGTGGCTGTGATGTAATTGGAATTTTAGGAGCAGCCTGAAATTAGGATCTGATTGTGCTTCATATATTTTGAACCTCAGGGAAGGGAGACTGAGCCAGCTGTGCACTAAATACCTTTTATACTTTGTCATCTTTGTTTTTCAAGGAGGTGGATGGGTGAGACCCTGCTCTTTCTCTGAAATATAACCAGAGGGAAACACATACACAGAGAGAGTATATATGCATCTGAATGTAGCAATCTCCAAAGAGGTGGGATTTATGTGGCCATCAGTTCTGGGGTAGGCAGGATGCAAAGGACCAGTGGAAAAGTAAATAAATAAAGTTTGCCACAGTCTTCCATGCCTAGGTCTCCACCTCCCTCCCTTGCAGTAAAGAGATGGCACAATAGCTCAGTCAGTAGAGCACAGGACTCTTAATCTCAAGGTCTGGGTTCGAGCTCCACATTCAGCAAAAGATTTCTGCATTGCAGGGAGTTGGACTAGATCAGGCGTAGGCAAACTCGGCCCTCCAGATGTTTTGAGACTACAATTCCCATCATCCCTGACCACTGGTCCTGTTAGCTACAATATAATTAGATATCAGTTCAAATATAAAGAAATGGCATTCTCTCGGATTTGAGAAGGTACTTTAATTCAGCTTTGTAATGCAATCTCCCAAGTCTTAAACAACCAATGATCAAAAGACGGAACTGGGGCAGGTCTTAAAAATATAGCCATCTACAACACTTTTGCAACAACTAGTCAGTTGAAAATCCGGCCCTTTTCTTGTTTCTTTAAAGACGTTCTTCAGATATGCCAGTAATATGATGATGTGATTTGACCACAAGTTCATCCTTCCTCCCACACCTACAAGATTCTGGAAAGCTCTGCCCAGAGCTGAGTCAGACTGTGTTGCAAATGGCCAATGCAAACAGTGATGGGCTAGGCTGAGCCAAACAAGGGATGGCTTATGGCCCATTGAAAACTATGTCTTGCAACAGGTTCTTTCCACCACTGTTTGTCACAACAGCTTTTTACTCTGGTTCTGAAATCAGCAAAGGTTTGCTCTGGCTGCTTGGAGAGAATGACATTTATTTAGCAGCTGTATCTGGTCCCCATTGAGAGTGGGAATGCAGAAATATCAACAGTAGGCAGACACAGAGCCAAATAAGTCCCCCTCTGCACTATATATTTAAAGCAGTGTCACATCACTTTAAAAATTCGTGGCTTCTTGAAAAAAAATCCTGGGAAGTGTAGTTTGTTAAGGGTGCTCATAGTTTTTAGGACACCCTTATTCCCCTCAAAGAGCTACCATTGACAGAGTTTCCTGGGAAGAGCGATGGACCACCAAGCCATTCCGAGCATTGTAGCTCTGTGAGGGGAACAGGGGTCTCCTAACAACTCCCAGCACCCTTAACAAACCACAGTTCCTAGGATTCTTTGTGGGGAAACCATGGCTGCTTAAAAGTGTATGATATTGCTTTAAATCTATACAGTGGTACCTCGGGTTACATACACTTCGGGTTACAGACTCCACTAACCCAGAAATAGTGCTTCAGGTTAAGTACTTTGCTTCAGGATGAGAACAGAAATTGTGCTCTGGTGGCACGGCAGCAGCAGGAGGCCCCATTAGCTAAAGTGGTGCTTCAGGTTAAGAACAGTTTCAGGTTAAGTACAGACCTCTGGAACGAATTAAGTACTTAACCCGAGGTACCACTGTACTGCAGATGAGGCCTAATTCTAGTTGTGTCTCCATCCTCTGGAGTATCAGGTTCTACAAGATCAACACTTAGACTGAGGAGGAGGAAGCTGCCAGCCAGTGCCGCCCAATGACTGGGTGTAAGTAAGAGGACAGGTGGGAGCTGGCTGGGATTGGACCAAGACTGGTGGGGCTGTGCCGTATTTACCCTAATAGACCTGCCCACACTGGGACGCTGAAGGGGAGGGGTTGGAGGCAAACTGTGGTGGGGATGGGTACAGGGGTGGGTGAGGTTTAAAAAGGGGTAGTTTCTGTCAGGTATGGGAGAAGTACAGGGTTGGTAAACAGAGCAAGCAAGGGGTGGCAGTACCTCGTGGGTATGTAGATATAATCTACAGGAGATAAGTTCATCAAAGATGCAGAACGCTGTGTACAACTTCATAATAATACAATTGAAATAAACAGTACAAATTAAGAAAGATGTTCGTTTAATCAAAACATCTGCATTTTAACACTGTAACAAGCATTTAATATTAAATTGTGACAAAGCAATTAATGTTAACATTACATCTCGTCTTCTAGAATTCTATGAAAGGTTGTCACATAGTTGTGAATTTTACTTTCTGCTGTCCTTACTGTTGTGTATTGCTAAGAGGAGGCCAGAAAGAGGTTCCACAAGGAATTAACCAGGAAAGGCTTACAGAGAAAAACCCCATACCCAAGAATTGCAGTGAAGGACTCATCTGTTAGGGCAAATGGGGCACTGCCCCACCAACTTGAGTCTGCTCTTAGCCAGCCTCCACCTGCCTGCTTTGTGGGCTTGTGTCTTTCCATTTCCAGCATTTTTGCAGAGGACTTGGATCTCATTGAAGAACTTGGATGTCAAGGATTGTCAAATTGCCCAATGACAGCAAACTGAAAGATTTGTGTCATCAGTCAGCATGGGATCATGGATGATAATGTGTTGGTTTTGGATATAGATGACTCAGGATTAAATCTGGTGTTTCATTTGTGCCATAGTTCCCCAGGACCTAGCCTTGGGCTTTTCAATGCAAGGGCTCAGCTTTGGATGTGCTGAGAAATAATAATAATAATAATTTTTTAAAAGGTCTGCTTCTGAGCATTTGCTGCAAAACCAATAATCACAAATTGCCAATTTCCTACCAGGCGAGGTTCAAGGTCCTTTTGTTGATGCACAGAGCCCTAAACAACTTGACCCTCAAGTATGTTAAGGACAGTCCGAGCCACAGTTCCAAGCACCCTTAACAAATGACAGTTCCCAAGATTCTTTGGGGAAGCCATGAGTTCTAAATGTGCATTCAATGTGTTTCAAATATATGGTGCGGATGTGACTAAAGTTTCTAGGCCTGCTAGTTGCAGAAGCTTGTGAACTGGGCGGATCAGGATTTCCAGTTAACTACCTAGAATATTTTTTTCCCGCCCCCAGAGTACTCACAGTCTCCAACTATGAAATGCTCAGCCTTAACATTCCTGAGCTCTGGAACTCACTATCACTGTCTGCTTGTGAACCTTACTGAGGCACCTTTCTGGCCACTGCCTGAGTGCAGGAGCCACTAGTATAAGCAACCATGACTGGAGGGTCATATTCAGCCCTGGGCTTTTGCATCAGTTTAAGAAATGCCTCCCACACACATTCCTAGAAATGACCTATGTACAAGCAAAATCCCCTCCTTCTCTTTACCATTTCCACCTCTGAACCAAGTAGAGCTGGTAAGAAATAGCAGACAAGGTGGGGAATATGCACTGAAGCCAGTCAGGCATCAGCTGGCCACTTTTCTGAATACAGTGGTACCTCGGGTTAAGAACTTAATTCGTTCTGGAGGTCCGTTCTTAACCTGAAACTGTTCTTAACCTGAGGTACCACTTTAGCTAATGGGGCCTCCCACTGCCGCTGCACGATTTCTGTTCTCATCCTGAAGCAAAGTTCTTAACCCGAGGTACTATTTCTGGGTTAGCAGAGTCTGTAACCTGAAGCATCTGTAACCTGAAGTGTCTGTAATCCGAGGTACCACTGTATCTTTTTCTCCATCTCTCTTGCCCAAGCACTAGCCTTTCCTTTCCTCTCCTTTCCATCCCTTCTCGGGAGTATCAGGATTGCGGTTTGTTCCTTTCAGCTCATGGCTAATCAACCTTGCTCAAAGGTTCAGAAGCGCCCCGCCATTCCTCTCTCACCTCATTTGGCGGGGGGGGGGAGGCACATCTGCTTATTTGGTTCCAGAGAATTCATTTCATCTTGCCATTGGGCCATTTATTTATTTCCCCGGCCAGCTTTTCTTTAAAAAGCCTGTCTCCCTTGATTTAGTGAGCCAATAGTGGTGGGGAGAGAAAAGGAGGAAAGGAAGAAAATTTAATGAATAAAAGGCAATGAATAAAAGGCTTTTTGAACATCTGGAGTTGCTCTTAGGCAATGCGCAATATCCCAGCCCAGATGTTGGGAGACGGCCTTCTGCTTGTGAACATGTCAAAACGTAGAATTCCATTCACACCGCTTTTATTCCTCTTTTTTTGCCTGACCTATCTTGGCCACTTGATTGGCACCTTCCAAAGTTGAAGGGGGGGGGTGTAATTTCATTCATTCAAAAAGGCTTATAAGCCTTTGAAGAAGACTGTCCTCTTATATTACTCAATATACCTGTGACCCTCCAGATGTTGCTGCCATCAGCCCCAGTCAACATGACCAATGAGCGAGGATGATGGGAGTTGGGGTCCAGCAACATCTGGAAGACTGTATGTTCCTCAACCCTGCTTGACGGAGTTTACAGCAGGGGTGCAAAATCTGTGAGTTGAATCCAATTAAGTTATACTGGCATGCTCTGGTCCATGGGGTCACGAAGAGACGGACACGACTAAACGACTAAACAACAACAAAGTTATACTCAGAGTAGACCAATTGAAATTACTAGACCTAAGTCATGAAAATGACTAGTATTGGCTACAACCCCGCGGTCCTCCAGATGTTGTTGGACTATATTTCCCATCATCCCTGAACATTGAACTACAATGTCCATCATCCTTGGACATTGTGGCTGGGGCTGGTGGGAATTGGAGTCCAACAAAACCTAGGAGGCCCAAGTTTCCTTATGCCCCTCTAAAGAAAGCATTTAATGGCCTGCTTCAGCATAGGCTTATGAACAAGATCAGGCTGCCTGCCTTGCAGGGTGACTCCCTCATCACAGCTGGCATCTCTGAGATAACACATCATGGCGCAGCTCAGCTTCACTGAATCACATTTTGACAGGAATAAAGAATCACAGGGGTAAACTGCAAAGTCCCTGTAGACTGGCACAGCTTCACTTCCTTCAACCGGAGTGTGCAAAGATGATTTACATCTTACTGTGGATCTGGCCCAGAGAGTGGAAAAGATGCTGGGAGTGGAAGAAAGATGGTCCATCAGCAAAAACTCCTGCATAGCACAGGCAATGACGTCCTTTGCAGAGCGGACACGCTCCATCACCTTCACCGCCCCAGCGTGACAGCAGCCGAGCGGGGCGGGAGAGATGCAAAAGGAGGCTAGGCCGCTGGAGGTGTCATCCCTCATGGTCTGGACACGCTTCATCCGTCAGCATATTGGACAGCTCAGCGCTCTTGGCGAACCCCCGGCACACTCCATCTGCCCCCAACATGGTGCCCATCAATCATCTAGCATAGGCACACCCAGGAACATCACAAGAACTGCCTGTGAGTGAAATGTGTGGTGTTCTCTCTCTCTCTCTCTCTCTCTCTCTCTCTCTCTCTCTCTCTCTCTCCACCCACCCTTCCTCACACATAAGTGTGCTGTGGAGATAAATTATGAGCCACTAAAAAAGGTGAATATAGGAGTGTTCATCAAAGGGACAGTTAAATAGATTGCAGAGGGTAATTGTGGATGAGGAAGAAGAAAGCTACAAAGATAAAGTGCAGCCTAGACAGTATGTAACACTGAACTAGCCCTCCCGCTACCCTCCACTGGCACTGTTGCAAGAAGATCAGAGATGAGAGTTATAGGAATAAACGCTCTGCTCTAGCCTCCCCATCTTCCCTGCTCTTCTGTGTAGCTGCAGGGAAATAAAAAGACTTTCAACTAAACCATAGTTTCTCATTACATCCAAACCTGGACAAACTGTAGTTAGCATTAACTGTGGTTTAGTTTCAAACCATGGTTTACGATGCTGGCTTGTTTCCCTAAACCATCATTACCACTAACCTCAGCTCTCAGTTTGGGTTAAACAAGTAACGGTGGTTGGTTGAAAAGAGAGAGTGGAGCTCCTGATTTCCTTTGGGTCATGTGTACTGGAGGCTTTCCTATGTTTATACCTGTACACCTGCATGCAGCCTATATGTTGCAGATGAAAAGGGGACAATAATAACAGGATGCCCAGAGATTAGATATTTATGCCTGAGGCCCTAACTTCAAGTGCCATTAATGATGACATGATCAGCACTAATGCAGTGTGTATTAAATACTAGACGTTGTGGGTGGGAACTATAATCAAGATTGCATTGTGTAGCTAGGGGCTCTTGAAGCCTTCCTTCCCCAGCAACAACCTCCATCAAAGTCACCCCTCTCAATGTGCAGCAATTATCATTTTGAAACAAAGCTCCCATTTGTGTCAGTGCTGCCCCAGATGCTGTTTTCTGCACTGCAGAAAGAGGAGATTTCATGGACATTGCAACTGGGACATTGCATCATAAACCTTTCCTCCATGCAAGCTGCTTTCTTGATAACATCTCCCAGCAATGCCTGGTATTTAATTTTTTAAAACACATGGTGTGATCGCTAATCACATAATTAACATCATGTGTAGTTATGCCCTGAGATGCATCTGTTTATCATACTGCAATAAAGGCTCCTTCCTCACCCATTGCATTTCTTTTTGTCTCCTCTGCAAGAAGGCCCAGATTTCCAAGAGTAGGAAAGGATTAACTAAACATGAATATCTGTACCCAATGGATGGCCTCCAATGCTGCTCAGATAAAAATAGGTACATGTGCTTTGCATTAAGGAAGAAGGATCACCTCCTCATGTTTGTGAGGCAATGAGCAAGAAGTGTGAGGCAGTCAGGTAGGGAGGCACAATTCATCCAGAAGTCTCCGGTGCAAGCTCTGTTGAAATAAAAAGGAGTTGTGCAAGAACTTAGCAAAGTCAATAATGCATATGGAGTCCAGAGAGAAAAGAAATCCTGATAACACTTTACTCAGAAAATTGAACCAAAAAACGTATATAATAAGAGAAGAACTAAACAGAGAAGTTTGTCTTTCTTACTTCAGACCTTGCACATAGCAGGGAGATAGTCAACCAAACATACTGAGGAAAAGCTCCATCGGAACTATGTAGCCAATCAGAGCATGTGCTACCTCAGCAAACATTATGCCATTCTATCTTGTTGCTAAGCCACACCTCCACGCATCCCCCTCTTGGCTAGTTAACTAAACATTAATAGAATTAACTCTTTAGTTACAAACTGAATGATCCCTGCTGTTGCACTTCCAGCAATTAAAAGATTTGTCATTGTGGTGTCATGCAGATATGTGCTACTGAATTTGAGTAATAAATGGGATCCACAAGTAGATTTGTGAATCCATCCATAAAAGAAGTGGTCCAAAGTTGCCTAAAGCTCCCAAGATCTGGTGGGCTCTACCAGCAGTTCAGAAGTTTCACTACCATTGTAAGACTTTGCTTGAGATACAAAAAAGTAATGTCAAACTAATGTCATTAGGACCAACTGAAATGTCAGACAGTAGAAGTCGTAGAAATCATAGAATCATAGAGTTGGAAGGGATCCCAAGGGGCATATAGTCTAACCCCCTGCAATGCAGGACAGAGTTCTGCCCCCAGCCACCCCTGGGTGGGCCTGAACCACCATCCTTAACAGCCAGATGCACTGACTCACTGCACCACCTCCTGCAGGGTCAGCTCTACTGTTCTGCAGAACTGGACCACTCCACTTAGCAGGTGGAGATATACTGCAAAACTTTAGGGCAGATCTTATCAGCAATTCGTCTATTACTGTAAGTGGCAATTGGCTGAGTCACCCTGAAGAGGGAGAAATATCACACTGTCTGTGGTGTGTCACAGGAACTGCTTTTGTTGTTGTTTTTCACTGGCCCTGGGCTATAATTTCTTTACCTATAAGAGGGGTGGAGGTATAATAAGCATGGGCTGTTCCTTCAACTCTTCAGATTTCTGTGCCTCTAAGCACAGCACATCCAATGCCCAAGTCTTCGAAAACAGGAGAGGAAGGGTCTTTAGGTGTGGCCACCGTTGCTGTTTCCAAAGGTAAGGCCCCAGCCAATTTGCTTCCCATTTATTTGGTTAGTTCCATTCATTTATTTTCCTCACCTGTGTCTTTCGTCAGCTGTATCCCAGTCAGGAAAACCGCAGGAGCAGCCATCTCTTATGAGGAAGATCCAAAGCACACAAGAGCAGCCTCCAAGAAAGCAGGATCCCCAGGGAACCTGACTTTCAGCCCTGCTAAATGCTTTGCCTGCCTCAGCAACTCCCATTCGACTTGGCTGTTTCCTCCTTTCCTTTCAGCAGCGCCAGCTCTCCTGATTCTTGTCTGGACTGTCCAGCAAAGTTCTTCAATAAAACACACACATGTGCAAAAATGTCCCGGATTTCTTTTTTTAAGGCTGATATAACAACAACAAAAGAATTTTTCGGTTACCTGCCAGCCTCTTTATTATTTTATTACTTATTCATTTACGCATCGCCTTCCATGTGAGTCCCGAGGCGACCTACGTAAAAACAATTAAAACACAGGAACGTAGAAAGCAGCCTAATACCTGTCTATCTAGGTCAGTATTATCAACATGGACTGGCAGAAGCTCTCTGGGGTTCATTCTTCGAGCCCTACCTGAAGATGCCAGGGATTGAACCTGGAATCTTTTGCATGCAAAGCAGATGGTGTACTACTGACCTACAGCCACTTTAAAACTTGAAAGAAAGCTTTGAAAACAGTACAGTGGTACCTCGGTTTTTGAGCACAATCTGTTCCAGAAGACCATTCGAGTTCCGAAATGTTCGGAAACCTAGGCGCAAAGGGTGGTCTGCAAATTTAATAGAGAAAATTGAGAAAAAGAAATACACTCAGCAGAAGCCGTTCAACTTCTGAGGCATGTTCAGAAACAGAAGCATTTGCTTCCGGGTTTACGGCATTTGAAAACTGAAACTTTCGTCAACAGAGATCTTCGAGAACCGAGGTACCACTGTACCAAAAAATACAGCTAATGATAGATTTTAAAATGATACAGAATGAACACCTAATTTATTATTATTTTATTTATTAAATTTCTATACAAGGAGCAGAGGGCAGTTTACAATATAAAAATGCATACCATAGTAACAAACAAAAACAATATCCTCCATATAGTTTAAAAGGCCATATATTATTTAATTAGCCAAAGGTCTGGGAGAAGAATAACGTTTTCGTCTGGCACCAAAATGTATATAACGAAGGCACCAGGCGAGCTTCCCTGGGGAGAGTGTTCCACAAGCAAGGAGCCACCACAGTAAAGGCCTGTTCTCATGTTGCCACCCTCTGGAACTCTCACGGAGGAGGCACATGAAGAAGGGCATCAAATGGTGATTGCAGGATCTGGCTCAGTTCATGTGGGGTATTGTGTTCCTGAGCTGTTTAAAGCTTTATAGGTCAAAACCAGCCCTTTGAATTGGTCCTGGAAACTAATTGACAGCCAGTGCAGTCGGACCAGAATTGGTGTTATATGTTCAAATTGTCTTGTCCCAGTAAGCAACCTGGCCACTGAATTTTGCACCAGGTGAAGTCTCCAAAAAACATGTCAAAACAAAAATGCCATCTGTTGTTTCTGGAAATTTCAAACAGTGGGCACCTACCATATCTCAACAGGGATGTTGTTCCACAGAACAGGGTAGCCCCAATGAGACCCCTGCTGCAAATTGCTATGGAGCGGACTTCTGATTAAGACTGAAAGAATCTGCCCATTGCAGTTCCCCTGAGTTTCTAGTTTTTCCAATTTTAAATTCATGGAAATTTTCTGGCATTTTAGGGCTCATTTTTTGTATGACGTTTTGACAAAAATACACATATTTGCAAGGAATTTCTCCTGATATATCAATTTTTGTACACATTGTTTGGTTAGACAGCTCCACCACAGTGCAAATCTTGAAGGACAGGTGTGTTTTGGTTCACATATTGGTCTGAGAAGTGGAAATTAGGTAGTTTCTCATTGAAATGCAAACAAAATCCATTTCCTCCACCATTCCTGCAAAGTTCTGATATTTTAGGGACTTTAATGAGAAACTTGTCTGTAAAGTCACACATTTACTTGGACAAAGAGCAATAAAACTCAGCCTCAAAATTAGCTTCTTTGCCTTTTTGTGGCTGCGCGGTAGCCAGGAGATCAACAGGTGCCATTTTTCTCCTCATGACAGCTCCATGACGGGAAAAACTGCAGCAGTCGACTGTTTCCCTGTTGTTTTATTTTATTTCTTTACTTAACCCTGCAGCTCGCCTCATCCTGAAGGCAATCGGTTTAAAAAGAATATAAAATATCCCAACCGAAATGAAAAGCAGCTGTTTTATGGTTTCAAGGCCCAGGAAACCTCTGTCAGGAAAGGAATTATTAGCCCTGCAACTCCTCCCCCCTCATCTCTCTGAAGTCAGTTGATACAGATGTAGGCCTGAAATTGTCACGTGCCTCAAGGAGGGCGGGAGCCATTTTGTCAAGCTGGACATCCAATGAAGCTGAATGCGGGATGATTCAAGACAGACAAAAGAAAGTACTTATTCACACAATGCATAGCTAGATGGTGGAATTCACTTCCTTGAGAGGTAGTGATGGCCACCAACGGGGATGGATTAAAAGGGGGATTAGACAAATTCATGGAGGATAAAGATGTCATTGACTACTAGCCACAAAATGACTATGTTCTGCCTCAACTGTTGGAGGCAATGTACCCCTAAGTACCAGATGCTGGGAGTCACAATTGGGGAGAGCACTCAGGGGTTGCTTGGGGGCTCCCCATAGGCATTTGGTTAGTCACTGTGAGAACAGGATGCTGGATGACATGGGCCATTGGCCTGATCCAGCAGGCTCTTAGGTTCTTATGTTATGAGGCTAAAATACTGCTCTGAGCTCCTTGAGTGGAACGGTGGGATACAAAATGAATATACCTTGGATTAAACACACACATACACACATCAACCCTGCATACAGTGGTACCTCGGGTTACATGTGCCTCAGGTTACATACGCTTCAGGTTACAGACTCCGCTAACCCAGAAATAGTGCTTCAGCTTAAGAACTTTGCTTCAGGATGAGAACAGAAATCGTGCTCTGGCGGCGCGGCGGCAGTAGGAGGTCCCATTAGCTAAAGTGGTGCTTCAGGTTAAGAACAGTTTCAGGTTAAGAACAGACCTCCGGAACGAATTAAATACTTAATGCGAGGTACCACTATATAGAAAAAGAAGAAAAAGTCTAGGTCTCTCCCTATATGCCAGTTTTCTATGAAAACTGGTACCAGGAAGAGTATAGTGAAGGCGCCCACTTCATCTCAATAGGCAGGGAGTTCCAAAGTGCAGGCGCTGCCACACGAATCAATCAAGTTCTTACAAACGTGGAATGGGCATTATATGGCACCTATAGTAGTGCTGTGCTTTTTCTGTGCCTTCCCATTCATCCTTGGTTCATTCCACACTTTCTGATGCATGTGTGGCTGCATGCTTGGTTCATTCCACACTTTTTTCCATGTGTGGCTGGAGCTGATGGTCAAAACATTGGTGAAGGTCGGAATAGCAGGTGAAGGGAGAGAACCTTCTTTGCCTGAGATCCTACAGAAGTACTGCTGGTCATAGTAGGTAAGACTGGACTAGTCTGACCTGGTGGAAGGTAGCTTCCTCTCTTTCAGAGTTTACCTTGCTTCCCCCTGCCTGGCCCTATGCCCAGTTTGTGCTGTTGTTCAGTTGGAGATGCCAAGGTGCCCCGAGACATGGTGGGTCTGTGTTCTCATACAGCAATACACCCCTTTCTATCAGTTGTGGCAGAGCAGCAGTGGAGACCGGTCCATTGGGGGAAAGGGGGCTCTACCCCATCACCTCAAACCAGTCCCCACTTTCTGGCCTTTCTGCTTGCAACCAGTATGGGGTGGGTGGGGTGTCATTACCTGTCACTCTCTTCCTCCTTAGTCTCCGTGATGCCCTAGCAGAACTCAGCAGGGAGGAGGATAGGGACAAAACCAGAATTATTTGCCTCTGCTTGTCATTTGCTCTGGCTCTGCCAGTCATTGGCCCCATCTGATGCTGGCCTCCCTGCCTTCTGTCCCACTAGTTCCAACAGGCAACAGCCACCTCTGCACAGCAGCAAGGCCGGCAGGTAACAAATATGGAGTGTGCTGTGAAAAGCCGGGGCAGGTGGAACCCCTGTGGTGAGCGCTCAGGCAGGGGTGCAATGTTCAGACAGACCTCAGTTACCGGAGCCTGCTGGGGTAATAATAAACAGGTGAGGCAGCCCGTGATAAGCCCCGAGGAATGCAGGCTCAGCAGCTGTGGGCAACCAGCCCGTTCAGAACTTGGATGGGACAATTAAGTAAATAAAAAAGGCTAGAACACCGGATCAAAGTTGGAGAGAGCCGGTTTTATTTATTTGGAAAAGTCAGATTATATTGGCAGATGTGTATTTTTCTTTTTTCTTTTCCCCTCCCCCCAAAGTCTTTCAAAAACATTGGCCCTGATTTGAGGTTTCCTGATAGGCGTGTCATTTTTAAGGGTTTCTTATGGGAAAGGAAAAGGGCGTTGGGAAGAATATTTGGAGCGGTTGGGAGAGGGGCCCACCTCAGAAGGTTTTCCTCAGTGCACTCAAGAGTTCCCTGAAACACAGATTTCAAACAGGTCTCTGAAGGGAATCAACTGTTTGTTTCCTAGCTGTCAACAGTTTAGCTCCTTTGAAGGACTGGAGTGCAATTTCCAAGTTTTAACTTGGAAGTGATAACCTCTAAGCACGTGTCAGCAATGTGGAGGGCACAGGGTGACTAGGGCTATAGATACTCTTACAGCCATCACTGGCTGGGGCTGATGGAAGATGTAGTCCAAGGCATTGTTGAGGGGGTGGGCACCACCTTGTTGAAAGTAATATTCTTAGCTGCAAGTTCCAAATTCTGCACCAGGTTGAAATGCGCATGCAGATAGATCAAATCTGCATACATCTACTTATTATTTTTAACATGATTTTGTCTGCTTTTGCTAGATGGTTGGAAAGTCTAAGCAATGTCCAGAAACTGACAGCTGGAAGCCCTGCACAAGGTTCTTAGATTTCATCAGACAATAACTTTGTTAGTCATGAGGACTGGAAACTTTATTGTTTGTTTTTGGAAGAATGTCAAGAGGCCGAGCATACTGATATCTGAATCAGATAAAACATGATTGCCGACAGGCAAAATGCACAGTCCTAGTTATGTGTGATGGAGCCCAAATAGCTTTGTTTGGACTCATATTTTGTACTTCAGCATTGCCTTCTCATCTATTAATGATCTGCTGGTAGATTGGTTACCTAATGCAACGCTAGCATTTCCAGCCCATGGTCTTCCTCTCTGCGCATGGCACATTACTTCATGATTTCCAACCACAGGTTATAAAATGGGAAGGAACCTCAGAATGAATCACACACAACCTTTGTGAAGGGTTGGCTTGCCATGCAAAGGAACCCTGACAAACATCATCCATCCCCCTCTCAACAATTTGCATGAGTGCAGCAACACATTTCTCAATTGTCAGATCATGCATTTGACAAAGGGCAGGGCGTAAATTCAACAAAAAATAAATGAATGGGTGAATAAGTAAACAAAGAGGTCTTAATAAGAGAAACGTATCAACTTTTCAAATGGGGTGGAGGTGGGGAATCCTTGCATACCTCTAAGTTAATATAATAACCTGCCAGAACAGGTTAGGTAGA